ATCAGTCGAGCTCCAACCCTCGAAGTTTGTTTGCCCGGTTGATCTATGCTAGTGGAATACTAAGCTTCAGCCCTCGAAGTCTGCTTGCTATTCTTCCTGAATTCCGGGTTGTAGTGGCCCTCGAAGTCCAATCCCAACCCTTCCTTCATTTTTGACGGAGGCATAAACTTCTCTACCTCCGGGGGGGCATAAACTTATCTACCTCCCCTATTTTTAGCAGGTGGCATAAACTTTTTTACCTCCCTGTAAAGCGGGTCTATATAGCCCGGGGGTGCTTCCCTCCCTTTTTTTTTTTAAGAAATCTATAGAACAATGAAATTGCAAAGGCACTTGGCTATAGAAGAATTTGATTGAAACAAATATTTTAAATTAAAAATAGAGCATTTTTACAAAATGATTCACTGATAAAATTTGACCAAGTGCTCTACATTCAATGTCCTATCAATTTCTTTCCCCTTGGGAGTCACCAACTTGTAGGTACCTGGGCGAACAACGGCCTTGATGATATAAGGTCCTTCATACTTCTTAGCCAGCTTCCCACCCTTAGTTGGTTGACTCTTCTCTCGTTTCCTCAGAACATAATCCCCCACCTGGAATGCCCTTGGTTTCACCTTGCTATCAAAGTAAGATTTCACCTGGCGACGATAATTCTCTGCCCGGATACGTGCTTCATCCCTTCGTTCTTCTACGAAATTCAGCTCTACGGCCTGATTCTGCTCGTTCACCTCCGGGTCATATTCCATTTCTCTCCTGGTGGGGATTACTACTTCAGCGGAAGCCCGGGCTTCAAAACCATAAGCCAAGCCAAAAGGAGTGTCACCCGTGGCTTTCCTCGGAGTCGTCCTGTATGTCCACAGGATTCTGGGTAGTTCATCTACCCATTTGCTTCCTTCTGAAAGTAGCTTCTTCTTTATTCCGTCTATGATTGTTCTGTTGACGTTCTCCACTTGTCCATTAGCCTGAGGGTACGCAACAGACACCTTCGTGTGCTGAATTCCCCAAGTTTTGAGAAAGTCTTGAAATTCTGCTTCCTCAAACTGGGTTCCATTGTCTGATATGATCTGCTTCGGGACCCCAAACCTGCAGAGTATATTGGTTCCGACGAAGTCGATCATCTGCCTTCCGGTGATCCCTGCAAGTGGCTCAGCTTCCACCCACTTTGTGAAATAGTCTATCGCCACCACAATCCACCTTGCCTGCCCTGCCCCTTTTGGCAGGGCTCCCACAAGATCAATCCCCCATCTTGAGAAGGGAATCACAGAGCTAACAGGTGTGTAGTTCGTGGCTGGCCTCCCCGGTATATTCTGGAATTGCTGGCAGGTCGGGCACTTGCGTACATATTCTTCGCAATCCTTCCTCATCGTTGGCCAGAAATATCCCTGGATGATAGCCCTCCTGGAAATGGAATAAGGACCCTGATGTGCAGCACATACTCCTTCGTGTATTTCTTCCATCAATGCCTTCGCCTCTGTTGCTCTAAGGCAGCGGAGTAGAACTCCGTTGTAGGACCGCTTATAGAGGACTCCGTCCTGTACCTTGTAGGTTGGTGCCCTCATTCGTAATAGACGTGCTTCCTGGGGATCCTCCGGGGATTCACCGTCCTCAATATATTTGGCCAACCGATCCAGCCATTCCGGGGGATCAGCCGATACCCAGATCACTTCACTGCTGTTAAGACTAGGGGTTACCAGCTCTTCAATGGTTGCTAACTTGCTTATGTATTCCGGTGACTCTGCGCTGAGCTTGGAGAGAACATCAGCCTCCGCATTCTGGGCTCGGGGAATATGTTCAAGCTTAAACTCAAACTTTCCCAACACCTCCAAGGTCAAGTCCCGGTACCTTTTCATCCTCTCTTCCTTTGCTTCAAATGCCCCCGTGATTTGTCCCACAACTAATCGAGAGTCGGTGTAAACCTGAACCCTGGATACTCCCATCTTACGTAGAATTTTCAAACCATTGATCAGGGCCTCATACTCAGCTTCATTGTTGGACACACGGAACTGAAATCTGATAGCGTAATAAATCCGGAATTTTTCTGGGGTGATCAAGACGATACCTGCTCCGCAAGATTGAGACCCAGAAGATCCATCAATGCTCATTATCCACCAGTCCTTTTCCACCCGGGTTTCAGCCTGGGCTCTTGTCACTTCTCTAGCGGTGCACTCGACTTGAAAGTCGGCGAGTGCTTGCCCCTTGATGGATGGGCGCGGCCTGAATTCCACGTTGTATTGACTAATAAAGACCGCCCACTTGGTCATCCGGGCAGAAGCCGCCGGGCTTCAGGCAAGTGATGCCAAAGGCTCATTTGTGAGCACAATAATCCGGTGAGCCTGAAAGTACGGGGTTAATCTCTTCGCTGTCCAGAAGACCGCCAACATAGCTTTCTCCGGACGGGAATACCTTAACTCCGCATCTCTTAGGGTCTTGCTGATGTAATAGACCGGATGTTGGGCCCCACGCTCTTCTCTCACGATCACAGTACTTATTGCAGAATCCGCAATCGCCAAATATAAATTCAGAATATCCCCAGGTTCCGGCTTGGATAAAACCGGCGGACTTGTGAGATATCTCTTCAGTTCTTCAAATGCTTCGTGACATTCCTGTGTCCATTCGAAGGTCGCCTTCTTCTTGATCACCGCAAAGAATGGGTGCGCCTTCTTTGCCAGCGTCGAAAGGAAACGGTTCAAGGCTGCCAATCTTCCTGTTAGCCGCTGAACTTCCTTTGCTGTTTTTGGGGGTTCCATCTCCATGATGGCTCTAACTTTCTCCGGATTTGCCTCAATTCCTTTCCGGCTTACCATGTGCCCAAGGAATTTCCCACCTTGAACAGCAAAAGTACATTTCTTCGGGTTCAATCTCAGATTCACCTTCATCATGATTTCAAATACCTCCTCAAGGTCCCGGACATGGTCTCGGGCCTCTTTGGACTTGACAATCATATCATCGACATACGCCTCCATGGTCCGCCCTAGGACATTCTTGAACACCTGAGAAACCACCCGGGTATATGTTGCCCCGGAATTTCTCAGCCCAAAAGCCATCACTAGGTAACAGTACAGCCCTTCTGGGGTCATAAAGCTTGTCTTCTCAGCATCGGCCGGATGCATCCGAATCTGGTGGTAGCCACTGAAAGCGTCCATAAAGCTCATTAGCTCTGACCCAGCAGTTTCATCCACCATCTGATAGATGTTGGGGAGAGGAAACGGATCCATGGGACATGCCTTGTTCAAATCTGTGTAGTCGACGCACATCCTCCATGAAGGTGGCTTGGGTGCTAGGACTACATTCGCCAACCAATCCGGGTATTGTACCTCCCGGATATGCCCAATGCTCTGCAGGGTTGCTACCTCCTTCTTCACGAAATCTCTTCTTTCCTGCGACAAATGTCTTCGTTTCTGCTTCACCGGTTTAGCATCCGGCAGAACATTTAGGCGATGAACTGCAATCTTGTGATCCAGCCGTGGCATATCAGCTGGACTCCATGCAAAGACCCTTCTGAACCTCCTGAGGACTGAAATCACCCGTGACCTGAGTTCAGCCCCCAGCCCCTTACCAATCCTGACAAACCTTCCCGGCGTGCCTGGCTCCAGTTCCACCTCTTCAATGTCGCCGGCAACTTCTACTCTGGGACGTTTTTCCTCTGCCCTCAGGAGCTGCGTAGTTACTTCTCCTATTTGGGTATCGTACTTGACCGGCTGTTTGGTTGCCTTCAAATACCATGCCCGAGATACTCTCTGAGATCCCCTGGCAATTCCAACTCCATGGGGGGTTGGGAATTTTATGCACAGGTGACGAGGTGAAATAACACACTCCAAATCTTCCAATCCGGGTCGGCCCAAGATAATGTTCGTGTTGGAGATTATCCCCACCACGACAAACTCCATGTCCAGCTTCCGGGTTGCCTTAGTATCCCCTATCTCAACCGGGAGGGTTATTACCCCCTCCGGCTCAATAGAGTCACCAGTGAACCCAGTTAGTGGAGTCTTGATGGGTGATAATTCATCTCTTGTCAAACCGAGAGCCTTGTACGTATCCATATACATAATATTAACGGAGCTTCCCGTATCCACAAGGGTTTTGTGGATCAGTAAGTCCATTATATCAATAGTAATTACTAGGGCGTCCCTATGAGGGACCCTTGTCTCTGGAAGATCAGCATTAGAAAATACAATAGGCTCGGTTTTCAACTTCTTACCTTCCAGGACCAGCACCTTGTTGACCACTGCCGCGTTAGCCCACTTCTTCTGGCTAGTGGCCGAGTCCCCACCAGTATTCCCTCCAATGATGAAATTACACCCGTGGTGTCTCTTCTGGCGATGCGGTGCGGGTTCCGAATCCTCCTCTTCGTCTTCAAGCCCGATGTGGCGTTTCTCCCGGGCCTCAGCTTGGGCCACTTCTTTATCTCTGCGTTTCCCATTCTAAGCATTTCCGGGATTCCCGGTGTCACCATCTTGTACAAATTTCTTCAGATGACCCCGGCGGATCAGCCTTGCCATCTCATTCTTCAGAGTGTAGCAATCTTCCGTGTTGTGATCATTCTTGCGATGGTAGGCACACCGTTTTCCAGTGTCTTCCACATTGCAGACCTTCTGAGAATAGGTTGGGTAAGTCATAAGTCCCTGCTGTGCAGCATGGGCCATGACCTCAACCACTGGAAATGTGAAGACCGGGTTGGCAGATTTATGCTTCTCCGAGGTCCCGGGACTTGCACCCTTTGGGCCGTCCGGGAAGCCTTGCTTCTTATTCTTTAACGGCTTCTTATTCCCCGTCTTCTCTTCTTCTTTAGGAGTCTTCTCCTTCTTCTCCTCCTTTCTTTCTTCCAGGGTCACATACCTCCCTTCCCGGACCATCGCTTCTTCGAAGGTATCCGGGGGATGAGTAGTGAGATCGGTGTGAAGGAGTCCATCCTGTAATGCCGCCGTGAACATAGCCAACCTGGATTTATCATCAGTTCCTTCAACCTCCCTGGACTCTTTCCTCCATCGGATAAGGAAATTCTTCAAGGATTCACCATGCTTCTGTCGCACTGATGCCAAGTGAGTGAAATGCTTCTTGGGACGGCAGTTCCCGGCAAAATGCTCTAGGAACCGTAGTCCCAATTCATCCCATGTTCGGATTGATCCGGCAGGGATATGGTTGACCCAGTCTGCAACCTTGCTATCAACGGTCTGCAAGAAGCACCGACACATGAGTGCGTCACTGGCGTCCACGGCGATCACCACTTGGACATAGTTATTTATGTGCTCTTGGGGGTCTGACTCGCCGTCATAACGCTTGACAAATGGCATTTTGAATCCCTGCGGATATGGTTCCGCAAAGATCTCCTGAGCCAAGGGAGTATTCGTTCGGGTAGTGAATATTCGACCCTTATTTATCTTCCTCTGCATCTCCTGGATCTGCTGTCTCAGGTCTTGAAATTCACCAACTTCCGGCACTGGCGGTCCCAGACGCCGTGGTGCTGGGATCCTGGCTTGGCTTTGAACTTCGTCCTCCTCCAGGTTCCGTAATGACCGGACCGGCACTTGGCTCGCGCCTCGGTCGTTTCGCTGCCGGGGTTCGCGATTGGAAGATGCCACCTGGCTGGCCTGGGGTCGTATCCAACCCTGGGGTGCCTTTTCCGGATTCTTCCCCAGCCTCTCACTAACGTGAGCTTCTGGTGAGATATCCTTTCAAAGACAGATCCCCGCGGGTTTTCGTGTCCATCGCCGAAGATCCGGCTTGGATCCTTAGCCTGGCCTTCGTTCACCTTGTTATTTCGGGCCAATTCCTCCGCCCGGCGTCTGTCAATGGCTCTCCTTTCCCTTTCAACCTCCTCCGGATCATGGAGCTCTTGTAGGATAGGAGAACTCGCAGTACGCAGGACCTAGCGGGGTTGCCCGGCAGGGATATCCCGGGTTCCGGATGGACCTGGAAGAGCCTTATCCAATCGCTCCATAATGTTGGCCATCATGTTAGCCACATTATTTAGCGCCGTTTCCAACCCATTGACAGGAACAATCATACCCTGTTCAGGGTTGTCACTCCTCACCGTCGACTGAGCAGAAGTAGCAGGGTTACGTCTCGTCCTTCGTCCGGCCATAATCTCATAGCCTTATCTCTCAGTTTCTCTCAATGAGAGCACCAATGATGGGATTAACCCGATCAGATGGCGGACCAAGAACGAAATATGAATTAGGAAGATATAATCACTCGATAATATTCTTTGATTGAGTATTGAACTGTCTTGTTCTGGCTTGCTTTACAACGGCGGGGTCTTCCCCTTTTATAGTACTTCTAATATTCTAATTAAAATTATACAAAATGAAGATGGATTACGGAGATCATGGGGTCGTGATTCCCCCTCTTTCCGGTCTCGTTCTCTTCCCATTTCGCCCACAACTTGATGATGTGGGCCACGTGTCCCATTCCTCCCTTGGACTGGATCATCTTGATCTATCCCACGTTTGGGCCGTTTTCCTTTGCTTGCCATATGCGAGATAACGGGCTTGGCCCGTCATCCCCAGCTGATCTATTCCTTTTGGGCTATTACGGACCTTCATTTGGGCCTGGAGTCGGGTCTACCGGACCCGATATCCATCACTTGTTCATTAGAATTTAAAGGTGACTTAAAAAGATTACGATGTATGGTCTCTGATACTCGGCTTAGTAGCTATGATTTGCAGTATAGAATGGGCAACTAAAAAGAATCTCTTGTAAGTAGGGTGTCGAACCTCAGGGAGACGTGAGTTAATTTAATTTAAACAAAAGTTTAGAAAAGAAGTTGTAAAATATTTTAGTCTTTTTGGTTTTAAAGATAAAATAAAAAGTGTAAAAGAAGAGAGTTCCAAACAACACAAAGTTTTTTTTTATGATGAAAAGTTAGGGGTAGAAATTGGTAAATTAATTGTCCAATGTTTTTATAAAAGTTAGATTGTCAATTTATTTTTATATAGAATGTGTGGGGTTGCAGAAAAGTATTTAGGGACGCTCTCGCAGTTCACCTAAATAATTACTCCGACTTTAACATGCTAATGATAAATCCGGAGTGATTATTTAGTAACAACGGCAACCATAATTATTTTATTGTATGTTTACCCAATTTAATGGTGTAAAAATACAACTCAATAATTATGTCCACCCGAAAGTCTTCAATCCCGATTAAAGGTAGAGAAGGCTTACGGTGTATTTAAAAAATGTTCTATTTTATGATTATATCAATTTTAGCTCATATTCCTTGTAACAATTATGTTTATGATTGGGCCCTTAATTAAAAATCACAAACATTTCAAATTTATTTATTTTTAAATAAAACATCTAAATAAAAATAAAATCAACAATCCATGTTAAAAATATTTAAAACATTAAGATGGACAATTAATTACACCAATTTCTAACCCCAATGGAATTTAGAAGTACATAGTTTGAAGCTTAAACAAATAAATATTTATTACAAACATAAAAATTTTACAAAATGGAAGATGTGTTCTTGAGCTCCAAATATGATAGATGATGATGAAGATGGAGTAATTTTATGTGTTTGGATGAAGAAAGTGGTGAGATATTAGTGATGGAGGAGAAGAATTTCGGATTAGAGAGAGGAGATAAATGGGGGTTCCAACCTCTTAGAAGAAGAGAAGGGAGGTGTTTTTATAGATGAATCCGTATATACGGATTATATACAAACAGTGCACCAATTGTCAACACAGGTACAGTAGCCCACATGGAAATGAGGCTGTTTGTCTCGCCACTTGATCCCGTGTTTTATTCCCATCCAGTGTCGGTGTTTTGTCATTTTTCTCTCTCAATTCATGGGCCGATTCAAAGAAAGAACATATTCGTTTTCCGCCAGTGATATGCTGAACAGTCAGTTGTGGCGCAATGGTCAAAGCTTCATTTCCAACACCCTCAAGTCCAGAATTCAAAACTCAGCTCCATTCTTTCCATTTTTAAATTTATTTCTTTCTTTTATTCAAATCTCTTCCATTTATTTTGGTCCCAAACTTCCATGTTTATTTTCCATTCTTGAAATTGTTCTCAATGTGTCCAAATGGCCTCAAAATACCTGCAAAACATATAAAACCAAGCATAGGACTGCCCTCCCAAAATAAAACGGAAAATTGAAATAAAATATAAATATTAAATTCAATTGGGACTCAAAACTCTTTCAAAATATATCTAAGGTAATATTATATAATAATAACTTCAACTATAGTATAATATGTAACAACCATAATTATCATATAATGTATCATATTAAATATATTAAATAATTAATATGTTTAAAATGCCTCAAACGTCCTAAACGTTTAAGATTGAACGCCAACTTTAAATTGAATCACGATCAAAATCTTAATCAGAAGCTAGACATATATCTTTGGGTTGAGCAAACGGAATGCATCCGATCCGAACCAGAAGAGAAGAAGAAAGATTGTTGGCAAAGAGATGTGTCAGCACTGAGGAAGATGAGAGAAGATCCACTGCAGACAGACTCATTCTACTAACGTCGAAGAAGGGAAAAGGTTGACCTGTGTTAGAGTCATCGTGACTAGTTTAGAGAAGAACTGAAGCAGAATGAATGAGGTGAGGTGCTGCCGGAAATTCATGTTGACCGAAGATCTGCCAACTAAGCAGGCTGAGGTGACAATATGATCTAAAATCAAGAAGCAACAGTGGTAGCTCTGGAGATGGACAGATGAGCATGGTGGATGCTTATAGGATGAACAAGTGGGATTGAGGCTACCGTCGCCGAATAAACCACCAGTGACGACGGGGTTGAAGCGGAAAGTATTAAGTCACCAAAAGCGAAAGCTCTGATACCATGTAAAATAAAATAATTATGATATATTGCTGAATGAATAAGAGATGAATACAAGTCATGTATTTATAGGTGGAGGTCGGGTGGCGTGTCTTGTTGTTTGCGGCGGTGCAAGTTTTGGTGGATGAAAGGAGTTACTCGGGGTCATTATTTGTTGAGAAAAGAAAATTACCTTGTTGGCTAGGGAGGAGCCGTAGTGTAAGAAAAATGAAGATGAAGATGTTGATGTGGAGAACCTTTGCCTATATGATTTTTGGTCACTTTTGTATGAGATGAGGTGGACAAAAGATACCATGGTATGAGGAGTGCCCAGAGCTAGAAATCTACAAGGTGGTGTGATGCGTCGAAAATTTTCCTGAAAACATGACAGTCAGGCGGCATGTCCCATTAATACACAATGGCCCTTAAATTAATTTCAGTTTATGGTTTACGATATCTGATTGAAGTTATTTTTAATTCAATTAATTATTTAAATAGTAGTGTAAAATTAGAAACAAAATATCATGTATTTAAAAAACCAATAAATTATATATAAAAAATTTTATAAAATAAGTTAAATTACATGTAAAGTTCTTTGGAATAAGAAGTAACATGATTATTTTATTATATCAAATTATGAACATAAACCCTTTATTAGAATCATTCATCGGTAATATGTAAATTATTATTATCCGGGAGTCAATACAATGTACATCCACAAAGTAAACATACAATGCATCGGGGCATACCCTTATAAAATCAAAGCAAAGTGACACACATGCCAAAGGCACGCACGCCCAAACAACAAAACATGAGTAAACAAGCACAAGGGAAAAAATGTACATCACATAGAAACATGATCATCACCATCACCAAGGCTCGTCCTCGTAATATGCATCAACATCGTCAATGGGTCATCAAAAGGAAGCAAAATCCTCATCAAAACTCCGAAAGTGAGACACGACCGGAGGGCTTTATGATTCATCAAGACACCAACCAAAAGGGGTCATTTGCGTCATTGTTGCCACTACAACGACAAGTCCTCAGCAAGTGTAGGCTCATCAAGTTCACCCTCAAGGAAAAGAAGCCGTGACCCAAGTCCACAAGTTTAACATTCGCCACATTGCCAGAGTAAACTCAGCCATACCTGAACAGGGACGGCAACGGCAATTGGCCCATGTAAACTCTAGTAGATCAGGCCTGATGTCACAAAGCACGAGAGAAACGCCCAATCCTTCCCTGAACGGTGTTGAACACTGGAGCGTCAGGCTCACAATGGCTTTCCAACAAAAATGTTCGGAATGCAGCGAGAATTGCAGATGGTAAGCCCACCCAAATGTGTTCAACGACGCAAAACTGGGGGAGGAAGAAGCGCGGTTAGTTTCAAGGCTAAAGGAAAGTCCTCAATCACACACCCACGGAGATGGCCTCAAGCCACTGCCCAATGGCGTTAAGGGCCTAAGACCAGCCCCAAGACTGGTTTAGAACCCAAAACCAAAGCAGCACAGGTTGGTGAAGACGGTCAATCTCAGCCCCAAACCATCCACACAACGGTCATGTTTTGCTCAAAATCCTTCTCCATCATACCCAAGCACACGACCAAGGAACAACAGGTGAAAGGAACATGGACAGTGGTAGACCAAACCACGTCAACCAGCCATGATCCCCAGGGATTCAACATGATCAAAAGTCACGGTCTCACCCAAAGAAATGGCCTCAAAGCACCTGCCCAACTACATATCAAGAACTGCCGGCGAGGACTTAAGGAGGCAGCAAATCATCTCATCAAGCAGACCTCCATACAAGGAAAGCAGCGAGAAATGTAAAGCAAACCATGTTCAACACTTCCCATACCAGCTTCATGGGCAGGAACTACCCCTGGGCAGTCCTAACCGAATCAGTGCAGGCCAAGGATGAAGAACAGTCACAAACCAGCAAATTCAAGATGAAAACCTTCCACAAGAGTTATGATTAGTTGACAATTCAGTTACCATTGCAGCTGCAATAAAGGAGTACAGGCCAGCAAAGACCCAGGGCAAACCAAAAATTGCAGTGTTGAAGGAACAGTAACGAAGAACATGAACAGTGTCACGAAGCAAGGATTCAAAGGTGACCAAAATCCATTGTTTGATTCAGAAAACCAAGACCAGAATCTTGAATCCCCTTAGAATTCGACCAAGAAACCAAAGGATTGAAGCAATCACAAGCAAAAAACCTGGTTAATTCCGGAGAGCAATCCTCGCTGTGAACTGTGCTCAGAATCCAGAAAAATCGCTCAAAATCAGAGGAGACATGAACTGGAACGGAAATCCAACTTCAGCCCTTGAAAGAGTAACCCAAGGCGCTCATAATCCCTCAAAATCCAGCAATCAAACGTGCTTCAACAGAGAGTAATCGAGCAACCCAGTGCCGCTGATGAACAGTGACACGAAGTATTTGACTTCCGATTTCTCCTCCATCCAGCAACGTAATCCAGAAATTGAGCCTAGAATTGGAATCCTTGGCTCAAAACGATTCAAGAGCAAGCAGAATCGTGTCAAAAACATCAAAAATCAAGATGGAATCGGAGGTCAACCCCAGGGATGAACAGCATGACACGTAGATGATCTAGTTGGCCTTTTTTACATGTCACTGGTCTGGCCTTTTTGATATATCACCTTCATTGAATCTCTTTAAGGCCGTCAAATTTAGGATTAATTATTGAAGGAAGTTTCAGTTTTCCTTTATTTATAGAGTATTATTTCAGCCGCTCGACGCCACAGCTTCAAATCGTGAGAGCCAATGGTTTGCACCGAACATGAACATAAAAAGGGAGAAAAAAGGCAGTGGTTTGTTCTTTCCTAATTAAATTGATTTGGAACGTGATTTTTTTGGTGGGTGGATTTTGGGATGATTTTTTTGACTAATTTAATTGGTGTGGTGGACCCGATTTTCTAAAAAAAATACCTAGATCTGAAATTAGCTGTACCAGGTATCTCGTCTAGTCGTCTGAAATGGCAGAAGACGAAAAGTTCCGAATTGAGAAATTCATGGTACAGATTTTAGTTGGTGGAAGATGCAAATAGAAGATTTCCTAGGTTTAGAAAGATTTGGATGTGGTTTTGGATGATAAGCCAGAAAAGATGTAAGATGTAGGTTGGGAAGGTTTGGATTAGAAAGCGATGTCCGTGATCCTTCTTTCGTTAATCAAGAATGTTGCGTTTAGAGAGCTGGTGAATAAGAAGACACTTCAGTTACCGAGCATATCAATAAGATGAATTCGATCTTAACCTAACTTGCATCCGTGAAGATTAAGTTTGGTGATGAAGTTCAAGCTTTGCTACTGCTATCGTCAGTTCGCTGATCTTAACGGAACAATTATAGCAGTTACCGGTTTAGTGGGGTCCAATGGATTCACTTTCAATCAGATTCGTAAGCTCATTCTTGGCGAGGTCGTCAAAAGAATGAGTTCAGGGGAGTCATCTGGTGAATTGTTACATGTTGGCAGAGGCAGAAGGAATAGCAGAGGTAGTGGGAGCAGGAACAGACGAAGGTGTAACGCCCCGAAAATAGGCCTATCAGAATTAATTAATTAATTACTGAAAAGGACTCAAAAATAAGTGATTTATAAAAGTTTGTCAATAAATAATAAAAGAGTAAATTCCCAAAATAGTCCTTTCTAATAAGGTGTTTTCCTAAATTAGTCCTCAATAAGTTTTAATTACCTATGTGGTCCTCTATAATTGAGATTTATTTCCAAAATAGTCCTTTGTAATAAGATGTTTTCCCAAATCAGTCCTTAATAAGTTTTAATTACCTTTGTGGTCTTCTATAATTGAGAATTATTCCCAAGATGGTCCTTCGTAAATAATGTTACTCAAATGAGGATTAATTGGGGGTATTTTTTCTCTGCTAAATTTAGAATCAATTCTTAGAATAATTATTTATAATGAAGTGCTTTCCCAAAATGGTTTTTCTAATTAAAGATGTGTATTTGATTTGAAATTTAAATTTTTTTTTAAGTTTTATAAATGTATTTGGTTTATCTCTATGTAATAAAGTGTTTTTCCAAATCAGTCCTCAAACGAGGATTAATTGGGAGATATTTTGGTATTTTGATCATCCAAATTTAAAGTATATTCTCGAAACAATCATTTCTGTACAACTAAATATAAAATTTAAAAAAAATACATTGACTATAAATAATTTATGAATTATTTAAAACTTGAAAAAATCTTTTAAATTTTAAATCAAATATACATCTTTAATTAGAAAAACCATTTTGAGAAAGTAATTCATTATAAATGATTATTTTAAGAATTAAATTCTAAATTTAGCGGATAAAAAATGCCCTCAATTAATCCTCATTTGAGTAACAGTATTTACGAAGGACCATCTTGGGAAGAAATCTCAATTACAAAGGACCACGTAGATAATTAAAACTTATTGAGGACTGATTTGGAAAAATACCTTATTACAAAGGACTATTTTGGTAATAAATCTCAATTATAGAGGACCACGTAGGTAATTAAAACTTATTGATGACTAATTTGGGAAAACCCCTTATTACAAAGGACTATTTTGGAAATTACTCATAATAAAAATTATATCGTTGTGTAGAGTTTGACTGTCTGACCTCAACGGTTCAATTAGATTTCAATTCGAAAAAAGTTAGACCAAAAAGTGTACTCCGACTAAGACCAAATTAGTCCCATTCAGAGAGCTATACAACAAACGATGCCCTACTGAGCAATCACGTTGATTACAATCACTTAAAAATCACGGAAGTAGCAAAGTCTGTGTCTTCCTCTTCTTCATATTAGTATATAAGGAGCACCCTCATACCTCATTTCTTGAAGAAAGTTTTGATTTCTGTTAGGCAGTTGGACGAACAGGCGAGGTGAAGTTCGGAGCTGGACAGTGGAAGGTCGTGAAGGAAAATCTTGTCATGGCTCATGGAAAAAGAGAGGTTCGCGATATATGGTCGAGTTACTATCAGAGGGAGTGACCGTCCCAGTTCAAAGAAATAATGTCCGGTTCACAGAGTTTCTTAGGCAGAAGAAGGTTGCCTGTGCAAGAAAGGAACTAGAGCCACAGGGCAGACTCAAGATGAACGAGCGAGGAAAGGTTCAAGGAGGCTAGTCAGAGGTATTTGTGACAGTGGGAGCTTAGGTGGTGTTTCAACCAATGTTCCTAGAAGATAGTGGGTCAGGAGAACCAGTATTCCAACTGTTGGAACATCTCTAGAAAATTTCTTGTTAAGTATGGAGAGTGTTTGTTCTCACGATGTTCTACGATTAGCAGTGCGCACTTAGAATGGGAGCTGGTAGGGACTGAGGACGAGTCAGGAGCAAATTTAGTTGTGACTGATGTGTTAGAGCTCAGGAGAGCTTTAATGAGTCTTTCAGTTGTCTGGTGAGAGGACCGCTGCAGCAGGACAACAGGGGAAGATTACTAGATGTACAAGCGATCGTGGCGAATGACAATTGATGATTATCACACCTCCGAGTAAGATAATGTTAGATTTGTGAAGACTAGATACGTTTGGGCCCGACTTGGGTCGGCCCGTCTTATTATTAGCCCTTCTTTGTTTCTTGGGATTTAGGATTGAACTAGAACTCAATTCCATCCAATTCAGTTGCATAAAAATTTAATTTTAATTCCATTCCAATTTCGTATACCAAAAGCAGTTTTATTATATTTGTTACATCCATTTCAATCTTTACGGATGAAAATTAAATGTTCATCCTTAAATATTTTCTCAATAAAACTTCACCATGTCTTACTAAGAAACATTTTCAGGACCATGCCTAACACTTGAGTCACATTTCTTAATCAGTTACCAACATGTTGTTGCCCTTAACCCATCATTTTTAAAAACAAGTTATCCAATCATTCAACAATTAGTGTTCAATAATTAGCATCATATGTCTATTTTAAATTGAATGAGTCATTCTTGTTTACTTTTCTGTGCAAGTCTAATGTGCCAATCCTGAGTTCACTTTTATTCACCGGAAACTAAAACGAATAGCTCGAACCCATATTGCATGTATTATTACTTCAACTTAACAGATGGATAGTCAAATATTAGCCCTCCGCTTGCCACCATTCCCCGTCTATCTACTAGTTTATCTTCACACCCAATATCTAGGGGATGAAAATCTTACATCGGGAAAGGTACGTTCCCACTCAACTCTTAATTTCCCAAACAGGAAAATAATCTAAATGGGAGCTAGATAACTAACAATACACATTTGCAGGCACTAATTTACAGAGGAGCCCGGCGGGCCTTTCAGTTGCTTTCACGAAAATCAGCATCAATAACCTCTCCTTCTCCATCAACTTTACCTGATGATGACGAACCTGATTTTTCTGTTGTGCCATCAGGAGTAGGTGTAGGCATAGGTCCGCCTGAACCTGGCTGGCTGTAGAGAGCTTGCCCGAGTTGCATCACTTCTTGGTTCAGTGCCGCCATGGCATCCTTTATGGTTTGGGTCGAACCGCCAGAAATGGCATCTTTCAGCTCTTTCACCTTAGACTCCACCTTGTCTTTGACGTCCGTAGGGACCTTCTCTCCCAACTCCTTCAATTGCTTTTCAGTCTGGTAGACGACAGATTCTGCCTGATTCTTTGTGTCAACGGCGTCCCTCCTCTCCTTGTCCTCTCTAGCAAACTTCTCTGCTTCCTGAACCATTCTATCTACCTGAAGATAACATGAAATTTCGTTGAGGGGAAACTGAGACTCATTGTTTGTGCAGATCATAAGTGCAGCAGTTTAAGTTTTCAGATGTAATTAAGAACTGAGACCTTTTATACATAAAGTAAAAACTAGACACACCTCATCTTTGGGCAAGGTGCTGGCACCTGTAATTGTAATGTCCTTTTTCTTTCCAGTTCCTTTATCTATAGCAGTGACAGAGAGGATGCCATTAGCATCAATGTCAAACTTCACTTCAATCTGTGGGACACCACGAGGAGCGGGTGGAACCCCGTCAAGGCGGAAACTTCCCAAGGATTTGTTGTCTTTTACAAATTCTCTTTCCCCTTGAAGCACATTTATTTCAACACTGGTTTGCCCATCTGCTGCAGTTGAGAAAACCTCAGATTTGGATGTGGGTAGAGTTGTGTTCCTTGGGATGATCTTTGTCATAACACCATCAAGAGTCTCAAGGCCAAGGGATAGTGGAATTACATCCAACAGCACAATGTTGCTTACATCACCAGACAAAACCCCTGCCTGAAGTTTAACAACGACCGCAATGGATAAGAACACAAAAAAAAAAGAGAGAAGGGTGAAAAGCTATATAGAAGTTACAGAAAAGTATATTTGGAGGGGGAAAGGGTGGCACTTGAGGGGGGAAATCCAACCTGTACTGCAGCTCCAAGAGCAACAACTTCATCAGGGTTCACCGAAACATTAGGTTCTTTACCAGTCAGTTTCCGGACAAGGTCTTGTACAGAAGGAATTCGTGTAGATCCACCAACAAGGATGACTTCGTCTATGTCGTTAAAGGACAGCTTTGCATCTTTTAAGGAAGTTTCAACGGGTCTTTTCAACCTAAAAATCAAATCTTAATCATGGTCATTGATGGAGAAAGCATGCAGGACAACATGAAACAAGGAAAGTCCTAGTGATAGCAGAAATGATTTACCAAATTGAACTGCATAAGGTCTAGACTGAGCAGGTACTGAACCTGATGTTTTAATTTGGATAAAAAGAACTGCTTACCTATCTAATAAATCTGAACATAATTCTTCAAACTTGGCCCGTGTAAGTGTGGTATCAATATGCTTTGGACCATCTGTAGTGGCGGTTATGAACGGTAAACTGTAACAAAAACAAACTGACATTTAGCAAAGAAGAGAAATTTCATTGTCATTGGTGTGACTGTTTCTTCGAAGGTGGGAAAAATAATCTACCTGATATTTGTTTGAGTCAGAGAAGACAGTTCTATCTTCGCCTTCTCGGCAGTTTCGGTGAGGCGTTGCAGTGCTTGTTTATCTCTCAGAAGATCTATTCCTTCTTGTTTCTTGAAGTCATCAGCTAGCCAATCCACAATCCTCTGTGGGTGGAACACCAGGCATAATTCACCAACTTGGTCGACCCAAAACCCAAAAAAACATGAACAATGAAAGACACACTGAATGCCGGTACAAGTCCAGTTTACCTTGTCAAAGTCATCTCCTCCTAAATGTGTATCGCCTGAGGTTGAAAGCACCTCAAATACTCCGTCGCCAACCTCAAGAACTGCACATAATAAATCACATTTAAAAAAGGCAACATGTAGTAAATGAGTGAAAGTTTGTATGCTTTGGAAGTTCAGTAATAGAACCCTCCGTAATAAAATTCCAGACATCAAAGAAAATCCATTCGCCCCTTTTCTTCCCCTCTTTTCTTTTCTTGTTATATTTTCTTCCCACAGTTTTGTGGTTTCCCACTAATATCAACCAGGTAATGGAGGGCTTAAGGAAGAGACAATACACAGTATCTGAACACGAAATGATCTTTCAAGTGCTACTAATAAGAGATGCTTCACAGAAAAATAAGTCTACCTGAGACATCAAAGGTACCACCACCAAGATCGAAAACGAGAATAGTTTCATTGTTTTTCTTTTCGAATCCATATGCTAATGAAGCAGCAGTAGGCTCGTTGATGATACGCAAAACTTCTACCCCAGCAATACGGCCAGCATCTTTTGTTGCAGTTCTCTGAGAGTCATTGAAGTATGCGGGCACTGTAATGACTGCTTTAGTGACCTTATCACTTAAGAACTTTGACGCATCATCAACAAGTTTCCTCAAAACCTGTGATCAATACAATTTGAGTCTAGAACTCCACACGCCAGGAAATACGTTTTCACATCACAATTTGAGAAATAAGGGTTTAAGTAGACACTGTCCCAAGATGCAACACATCTTCTTCATGCCTATGTTTATAAAGAAAACAAGATTTTAAGTAAAATTGGACAAGAAAGTAAAAAAAAATATAAAATGGGAATTCATTTATGTTATACCTGAGCAGAGATTTCCTCGGGAGCGAATTGCTTTCCAATGGCGGGGCACTCCAGCTTGACGTTCCCATTCTCATCTCTCACAACTCTGTACGACACCTGCTTTGACTCATCGTCCACCTCAGACATCTTCCGGCCGACGAACCTCTTTACAGAGAAGAAGGTGTTCTCCGGGTTCACCACAGCCTGGCGCTTGGCAATCTGACCCACGAGGCGGTCTCCGGCCTTGGTATACGCCACCACGGAAGGCGTAGTCCGCTGCCCTTCCGCATTCGTCACGATCGTAGGCTTTCCGCCCTCCATCACAGCAACAGCAGAGTTCGTCGTCCCCAAATCTATGCCCACCACCTTCTCGCTTCTGACCCTCAGCGGCCTGTACCCGGGCTTCGCCGCTCTCTGACGGCTGTAGCATCTCTTCGGCAGCTGGACGCCTATTCCATGGTCGGATAGCGAGGATTTACTGCGGCTAAATTTGTGGTGTGGAAATGGTAGCGGCACGTGGGTGGCAAATGAAGACGCCATCACTCACTTTCTCGAATGCCTCGGAAACTCTTCTAAAATTTCAGTTGATTGGGAGTGGAGCAGGTTGGAACCGATGTTTATAGAGGGAAAAGTTGAAGAGAGATTTCTAGAAGAGTGTAGGAGGAGCAAAAAAACTCAGCAGCGTTCTAGATTTTGTTTTGGACTAACTACTTATCTCAATTTGTAGGCGGTAGATTTGTACCTTCATTTTGTGTTAAGGTGATATTTTACAGACACAAAATATTAGTACAAATTTTTATTATCGCATCAGCATTTTGTGTCAGTGTGAATGATAAAAATGTTAATACAAATTTTTGGTGTAACTTTGGGATACACTTTTTGGTGCAAATTTAGCATGGTTGTTTTGTTTTGGGAGAAAAAAATCAAAATAAGACTAAAACATTGAAAATATACCAAAATAAAACTTTCATATTTTTATTTCCGAAATATCACTTAAAATGTATTTACATTACCAAACATGGTCATGTACATTACAAAAAAGTATGATAATGTACACATGTACAGTGCCACATTGCAATCACACTACCAAAGTGTGAAGTCCTATTTTAGAAAAAAATATGAAAATTCTATTTCAAAAACATACATATATGTATGTATGTATGTATCTATGTCTGTGTGTATGTCTATATATAATATATATATATATATATATATATATATGTATGTATGTATGTATGTATGTATGTATGTATGTATGTATATATATATACATATATATATATATATATGTATATATATATATATGTATATATATATGTGTGTGTGTGTGTGTGTCTACTAGCTTTTTTTCGCACTTTGTGCGAGTGGTGCCCAATACATGAAAAATAATTGTAAAAAGTAGTGATTCTCATCACATTGCTTAGCAATGTCGTCGATGATCCACGACTCTACGAGTCGTACAATGCTCCGTTTGTAAAATTGATGATTTCTACCTACTAATCTCCAGGTAAATCCCCCGCCCCACCCACAATTGCATCCACCAAGTTTAATTAACTGCAGAATCCAAATTTTGACTTTGAAGTCAATTAAACTTGGGGATGCAATTAAAGGGGGTGGGTATGGGATTCAGGGAGGGGTGGGGGTTAACCGGGGGGTTAAGAGGGGTATGAACCGTCAGATTTTTTTAATTCTTTACCATTTTCATATAAAATGATTTAAAAATAACTTCAGTCAAATATACTAAATTGTAAATCAAAACAGTTAATATGCATTAATTTCAATTACCTGAACTTATAAATTCGATGTTTGTATTAACAATTTAATGGGAAAAAAGAGCTAATCTTTTATGCACAAAAAACATAAACAAAGGCTTCAATATGACTCAGTTTTCAAAGTGAGTCACACAAACTCTTAGGTAGACATTTACTTTTTAACTTGAAAACTACAAGAAGAATTTATGGAAAAAGGCAGAAAAAGGATGGAATTTATGAGAATGCCCTCCTGGATCTAACAGAGAATCCCGTGAGACATGTCCGTTCCACTCGCGAGAAACGACAAAAAAGGCCCTTACAATCAAATAACAAAATGGGGCAAAAATTTAACAGGAAATTTTAAAACTAATGGCCCGCTGTTAAGTTGTCGTCGAAGCGAGATGATGATTTTCAAAGGGGCAAACAGCATCGTTTGAACGCCCAACCAATCCTTAACCCCCTGACCAATCTTGGGAAATAATACGCCTTCTCCCCTCGAAATTGTTCTGCTCTCATTCTCTTTGGCTAATTAAAGGCTTTGTCTACCTTGGTATATTGTATATTGTGGTTGGATACCTTCACTTACTACGATACTTTTGTCTACCACGGAGAACATCAATGCAAATGGCACGGTATAGTACAAGAGAAGAAGAACTCTCACCCCAACACAAATGAAAGAGATTGAGAATGCAAACCAGGTTTTTTCAAATATCCCTCACTTAAAAATTAACTGATTTTGGATTTAGTTTTGAAATATTCGGGCTTGGTGTTAGATTTTTGCTGGGGTATCTCAATCTCTATCAAGTAAATCGTTCTCGGACGATTCTGAAATTGAAGTGCATTGCACGTACACTAAATTACTAAAATATAATATTTTAAGTTTATTTTGTTTGAGATTGAATAATTCAGATGCATAACAAGTCATTTGACCATGACAATCATCAACATAATGTGACAATAATACATTATAGTCGAATGCATGCGAATACGTTTTTTGAGTAGTTCTCGTTTTTATAATTGGGTTCCATCGTTGAATTGCACCATTGAAATAGAGAAATTATCTAGAATGAAGTTAACTTTAAAATCTTCTTTGGGAGAGTTCCAGAATTTGCTGAGTGGTGGACTTGGAGATCATATAGAAGTCCTTACTTTGTTTAGGGAGAATACACCTTTTTCACATTTTTTGGATGTTGAGTGTATTCCTCCGCCTTTGTTTTCATGGCAACTCATTGCGAGGGAAGCCAAAATAAAGAGGCCAGGGGAGATGTGATTTGTTCTGAAAGAAGTTCATGTCTGGTACTCCTTGATGGAGTTTTTCCTTATAAGCGGCCTAAACTACTCTGTTCAACATCGGCTTTGAAAAATCAAATGATTTGACCTTAGCCAAGAATGAATTTATTCGAGCACACTTTCTTTCTGCAAAGAAGGGAAAGAAATCTGATGCAGTTACATACAAGATGGTTGTGCAGCGTTTTCAGGACATGTGTAAAGACTTGGGCGGCAAAAAGAATGAAGGCGAAGAGATGGAGGCTATGAAAATGGCCACACTTTTATTTATTATCGTTGTTTTGTTAGGTTCTACTGATCGCGACAAGTCCATTATACCACAAGAGATGCAGGGCATGATTGGATAGTGGAGAGCCGTTAGAGATTTTCCATGGGGAACCTGGGCATTTATGGAGTTCTTAGGATCAGTAAAGAAGGACCTAGTTGCTAAGGCTAAATTAATTGGAAGTGGAGCCTCATCAACAATATATTATACCGGTTTCCTGCTTCTTATTGGGGTAAGGAACTTTTTAATTATAATAATTTTTCTTCGCATTGAAACTTTCAATATGAAAAGATCCTATTTTTTGGAGAGTTGCATGGGGATTGCAACCAATATTACAGTAAGAAGGCAACAAACATACCCAGCTAGGCCAATAAGCATCTGCCTTTGGGTGAAATTCCAATAAAGAAGAAAATCACCCACACAGAGATGGATGGTTACATTAAGAATCTGCAGGTATATACATAGTGTTGGTCAAAAAGGATTAAAATTTCAGGATTGTAAATAGCATTCCCATAATAAATTGTCATTTTTTTGTTGCAGGCTGTACAGAGCATTCTTTGTCCCAACAGATTTGAGGCTACTGTAGAGTGATTTATGAACTTTCATCCTCTACAGACCACAGAACACCCTGAGTTGGATGTATTTGCGGAAAAGTTACAAGCTAAAAGGGATGTCCACATTCTGGTGGTTAGGAAGAGAAAAGCTCTGCATCTTATGAAATGTGATAATTTTATAGAGCCAAATGAGCACATCATCTCCTCTCCCCTAAGCATCTCAAAGCCTTAGAGACTCTTCTCCTAGAGCCTCTCTTTCGTACATCCCATCTCCATCGTCCCATATCCCTTCCCCCACTAGACCTTCATCCAATCTGTTGCAAAAACTCTTTGAACAACTGTGAAAGAAAATAGATGATATTGCATTGCAACAACAAAAGACGTTTGAATTACTTGAAAAAAATTGATGATCTGGCAACCTTAATAACACAATCTACTCAAGTAGTCGAAGAACAAAAGAAGACTGTGAATTAGGTGTGTTGAATATTTAATATTAGAGCTTTCTAAACCTTTTGAAAGGTCATCAAATAAATAATTTAAGCCAAACTAATCTCCTATATGTAAAAATCTGAAGGTAAATGTACTAGAATCAATCGAAGAACCAATGAAGACTTTGTTGGAGGTTAGTCGAAATGTTGTTGAATATTTAATATTGGAGCCCTCAAAACCTTTCGAAATCTCTTTGAAATGATGTTGAACTATTCAAAATGTCATCAAAAAAGTCATACGAAATGGTGATTTACATCTAAAGGTGCTTGCGCTTTCAATGGAAGGACAAAATGAGACAATCATGGATGATTTTCTAGAGGGACAGACAATCATTCCTCCATCATTTGAAAAGGTTTTGGGTTCATTGCATTCATTTCATTTTGTTTACTCAAGTAGTCAAATGAAATCAGAATATCAGTCAATCATTTCATATCTCATACTCTTTAGTGTTAGCCTTGGTTTGCTAAGCCTCATGTTTTGATGTTAACAAACAATATAAGAGCTAAACGTTTGTTTAAGTATTTCAGGTACAACAAGAAATCCATTAATATTTTACTAGTAAAGTAAATACTAGTAAATATCCTCATTGTTCTTAACATTTTCCCTCAAAGTGATCATCGATAACAAAGAGTAGCTTGGAGCATAGATCCTGGAATAAAGCGAGCAGAAGCAAGATAGTCCCTATAATCGAGTAGATATGTTGATCTTCATTGCATGACGAACGAGCTTGAGAGGACGTTTGCTGATTTTTTTTCAACAAGAAATTTGGTGATTGGAGTGTGGGCAGGAAGTTTCTTTTTCTCCTTTAAGGCCATTTTCTCTACTTCACTATCTCTTTTTATTCTCTTGAACCATAGAAGAAACACACACAAGTATAGTTTTCTAGTTCTTTGGTAACGCACTCAATTTTTTTTGGAGGGAGAGAGAGAGAGGGATATGGGACAACGATTAGGCACATTCATAATTTTCTTGGAGAGAAAGATAGCGACAAGGGACGGCAGCTTTTAGTCACAATCAGATTTTTTTTAGAGAGAAAAAGTAGGATAGGGGACATCGAGGCCATAAACTATAGCGGTCAACTCTCAATGATGAAAATTGGTGGTGGCGTACGGTCATAAAGGAAGGAAGGCTAGGTTTTTTAGTAGAGAGGCTTTTGCTGGGATAAGACGATACAATTTTATAATAATTTATTCTACTCAATAATAAGGATGACATCAATATATATAGAAAATACACACAGGGTCCTAATTACTAAAGTAAAATAACAATTATGGTAACAATAAATAAGAAAAATAAATATTGTTATTGTTGCTATTATTAATATTATCCAA